TCTGGGAGATACAATCCAGTGATCGACATCATGAGCATTGATCTACGTAATTGGGATACGATGACGTGTGTCAACAAAGTCAGCCAGCTTGACCTCCCGTACCCGTTAGTCACTCCTTACGACAAGCATGAGTTGTGAAGCCCAATTCTAACCCTGACCTTCACGGCCCAACGACTGAGATGATGAGATTAGAGTGAGTGAGTTTAGTTTTACGCCGCACTCAGCAATATTCCAGCTACATGGCGGCGGTCTGTAAATAATCGAGTCTGGACCAGACAATCCAGTGATCAACAACATGAGCATCGACCTGCGCAATTGGGAACCGATGACATGTGTCAACCAAGTCAGCGAGCCTGACCACCCGATACCGTTAGTCGCTTTTAACGACAAACGTAGTCGCCTTTTATGACAAGAATGGGTTGCTGAAGACCTATTCTACCCCGGATGTTCACGGGTCTGATGAGATTAGAAGTAGAAGTACATTTAAATAATCATCAACGATTCAGATCTCTGAGTGTCATCGGTCTCGCATCAACGGCATCTTTACATCCGGAAGAATCATCTGTTGTGTTTTTCACATAAAATGAAGTGACTCCAATTACATCCAACTGGTTGCTTAATGTTACGTGTGTCAGATGCTTTATTCTTGTGGGTTAGACAATGAGCAGGTAGTGTAACCGTTAGTGTCCGGTAACAGCTCACTGAACCTTGACATACAACCAGCTTAATTTGGGGATAAAATGACACTGCGTCTAAACCCTCACAGATAGAGGATGGGTAGTGATTTAGAGGACTGGGGCATGGGGTTAAAACGTTGACACAAACATATGTCTTGGAAACAACGTTTACATATGAGTTAATGTTACGTCACTGCCGACGGGGTAGCCTAGTGGTTAAAGCGTCCGGTCGTCACGCAGAAGACCGGTTCGATTCCCACATGGGTACAACGTGTGAAGCCCATTCTGGTGTCCCCAGAAATATTGCTGGAATATTGCTAAAAGCGGCGTAAAACCATACTCACTCACTCACCGCTGATGGTGATGACGAAGCTGATGTTTATGATGTTGCCAATGGAACGAGCGATTCCTGGGCCTTCGGGGCACCCCTGGACCAATGAACCAACTCGTTTCTTCGAATTTCGAGCGACAGGTAGACTTGATAACATTGGAATAATAAAAAGAGGCTTGATGAAAACACCCACATCAAGTTTAGTGTCATATGTAGACTAACAACTGAAATGAACCTATACGTCCAAGTTACAGTACACAGGAACAGCAGTCCGGGTTCTGTATTTGCTTCAGGGTCTGTAAACGTATGCAATAACAAGCCAAACACTCTGTTAAACACTGTGGACCTCATTCTGCCTAAAGGCAAGACAGGTAGAGTTTTTATTAAAGTCTCACCTTGCGTACAATAATTTAGACACAGATCGGAAGGAATACACAAGACTATCCCAATGAAACTATATATATATATAGTTGAATATACATTATACTAGTATTATAAAATACCACAGAGTTTTAAATGCCCATGCGTGTAAATATACTCACACAAAAAGTTAAGGACCACCCCAATTTTCAATATTAAAGTATTTGATCAATATAGTATTTAAATATTGAATATTGGGGTGGTCCTTAACTTTTTTGTTGAGTATATTTACATGCATGGGTATTTAAAACTGCGTGGTATTTCTCCGTCCTGTTCAGTCAGGACACGTGTCCAACCAAACCTCTCCTGCAACTTGACCAGCGGCTATTGCAATGTGAATCAGAACCCGACGGTTTGGCTTCCCCGACCAAGTGGTCAATGCTATTGCATCCCACAGAGTAATCAGGTCGCTTTACTGTTCAACACACCCGACCAGGAACGGACACAGAGTAATCAGGTCGCTTTAGTGTTCAACACACCCGACCGGGAACGGGCACAGAGTAATCAGGTCGCTTTACTGTTTAACACACCCGACCGGGAACGGGCACAGAGTAATCAGGTCGCTTTACTGTTCAACACGACCAACCAAGAACGGGCACAGAGTAATCAGGTCGCTTTACTGTTCAACACACGACCGACAGAGTAATCAGGTCGCTTTACTGTTCAACACAACGGGGGCACAGAGTAATCAGGTCGCTTTACTGTTCAACACCGACCCGACCGGGAACGTCGGTTCAACACACCCAGAGTAATCAGGTCGCTTTACTGTTCAACACACCCGACCGGGAACGGGCACAGAGTAATCAGGTCGCTTTACTGTTCAACACACCCGACCGGGTACGGGCACAGAGTAATCAGGTCGCTTTACTGTTCAACACACCCGACCGGGAACGGGCACAGAGTAATCAGGTCGCTTTACTGTTCAACACACCCGACCGGGAACGGGCACAGAGTAATCAGGTCGCTTTACTGTTCAACAAACCCGACCGGGAACGGGCACAGAGTAATCAGGTCGCTTTACTGTTCAACACACCCGACCAGGAACGGGTTAAAGCCGAGAAATGCATCTCACGTATAAGACAGGAGATATTTTTCCACAAGGGAAGTGAACACTTCCTCTGCGTTTAAGGGCACAACATACGTCTGCAAACTTCGTTTAAGTATAGTATTTGTCTGAATATCTTAGCCATTTATCTGCATATCTCGAGTTTCAGCCATTTAGCTACACATCTCGAATTTCTAGCATTTGTCTACATATGTCGAGTTTCAGGCATTAGTCTACATATGTCGAGCTTCACGCATTTGTGTACAAATGTCGAGTTTCAAGTATTTGTAAACATATGTCAAGTTTCAAGCATTTGTCTACATATTGCGAGTTTCAGGCATGTGTCTACATATGTCGAGTTTCAAGCATTTGTCTACATATGGCGAGTTTCAGGCATTTGTCTACATGTGTCGAGTTCTAAGCATTTGAGCCAACTTGAGCTGAAAACGAAATTATCTGGTAGTGATGACAGATGTCAGTGGCTTAAGTATTTCCCGAATTTGTTGTAATTATGTGTTATGATTAAACATAAACTGTGTATGGTAACACATTGAGCACTGAACTTCAAATCTTGAAAAAATCGCCTTTCACTAAGGTATAGTTTCAGCATTAGTTTGGTTGAAAGATACCTACCCTCCAGTATAAGGGTATTACTACAGCAAGTTCAGCGACGGTTTGCTCTCCTACGTTTTAGCACGTTTTTGATTAGCATAGTGTTTTCTACTTTTGAAGTGAAGTAAAATGATGCCGTGCTCGATCACAGTGGCTGAACCTGTTGGTCGCCGGAGATGTCTATCTATCGGGTGTTTCATGTTCGGTGACTTGGTTTATTGCATGTCAGAGACTCCGGCAGCGTGGACCATTGCTCATGACATCAATCACCTGTTTGTCTAACCCACATCCAGTCTTGCTTGTGCTTGCATCTTGCTCCAGATGGTTGTGTCACATAGCTGGAATGAGTGAGTGTTTAGGGCTTTATGCCGCTTTTAGCAATATTCCAGCAATATCACGGCTGGGGACACCAGAAATGGTCTTCACACATTGTGCCCTTGTGGGGAATCGAACCAGGATCTTCGGCGTGATGAGCGAACGCCTTAACCATTAGGCTACCGCACCGCCCCAATATAGCTGGACATGAGTCTCATTAACCTACTCAGACAATGACCTACTTTTCAGCCGATCCGAATTTTCTCGTGTGAAAGTGAAAACAGACATCACAAACAACTATGGTTACACTGAATTCCATGCCAATTCTTTGTTTCATAAGAAAATGGTATTTACAAATGGAATTTTAATTTCAAACTTTTATAACATCGTATTTCTATATTTTATGGCGAGGTGTAGGCAGCATGACCTTAACTAAGACATCACAGACTGCCCTATCAGAGACTAGTTGTTAGTCTAAGACTGCCCCTGTTTGATGAGGTCGTAAAATGATTCACAATGCATCTGGCTTACTGGTTACACCTGTTATGTGTTTTTCTGCGCTTATTCAATGTAGTTCTGTAACGCACAATGTGATTGATATAATGTCAAGTCCGTACCAGACCGCCAAACTTTTCTAGCGGCAGAGCCTCGTTTTGAGTTTTTCACGATTTCCAGGTTTCCGTTTGTCAGAGCTCGCTGTCATTCGTGACCAACTCGTATTATTCCGGGACAAGCCGAATAGGTTACGGAAAGTGGCGAGTGGTGACGAATGAGCTCGCTGTACGACAGAACACGCTGCACGACGTGTTTGCAAGGATTAGAGGGAGCGCAGTGTTGCAATATACAAGTGCTTAGATGTATAAAATATTACTGATTAATTATTATGTATCCAGTTAAATTGGTCCCAAAATTCTGGACTGGTTATTGTACTAAGTTGCGCAATAGGACGGGACCCAGTCAACAGGAAAAGAGACTGTTGTATTATCAATGTTTTGACTTGTAAGATTGAGAGTGGCGTTAAACAACAAACATTAAACATGGGTAAAAGTATACTTTATGACATCATAGTTCATTAAAAACTTATCAACACCTATCGACACACGTACCAGTGACGACACGGGTTAGAATTGGTCTTCAGCAACCCATGCTCGGCGTAAGAGGTGACTAACGGGACCGGGTGGTCAGGCTTGCCGACTTGGTTGATACATGTCATCGTATCCCAAAATTGTGCAGATCGATGCTCATGATGTCGATCAGTGGATTGTCTGGTCCAGACTCGCAATATAGCTGGAATATTGCTGAGTGCGGCGTTAAACAAACAAACAAATATTAACGCACCGTCGTGTGTGGCACCCGGGCACTCCACATACCCGAGGACGGTAGAAACGTGATACAGAGTGGGCACTTGTGACCTCTAAATTTACAGTACATTACATGACATCCTATCCACCCCACCAAAACACCTAACATGTTCTTTTCCTTTTCGTTATTTTGTGTTAAGGAGACCCGGTGGACCTCATTGTATGGGTGGGACGGATAGGACTGAGTCGTGAGTCAAGAAAAATAAGATATGTTAATCTCATCCGGGTGTCTTTTCGATAGTTTTACGGTAAGGTTGCTTAAATGGGACAACAGACCTGGAGTTTGGACCCAACCGGTCAACCGATCTCAACATAACCTTCAACATGGCGAGCCCGTTCTCTCTCGATAACCCAGTGTTTTCCAAGTTTGCCCTCTACTCGACGGTAGTACTGTCCAAGACACTATGCATGTCCGAACTGACAACGTTATATAGAATGCGGAAACAGGTATGTCATTCAGCTGGCTTGTCCACACTGATTAGCTTGTGTGTTGAGTGATTATATTCAAGGTTGTTTCCATATACTCGAGCAGGTTTGCAGCATATACTGTAGAGTGTATATCGAAACATCGATAATCCGAATAAAGAGTTACTGCTTTTCAAGATTTTTGCGTTCGGATTTTAAAAATCTGGAGGATTTCACTGAGAACTCATTGTACGAATCAGCAGGGTTTGGCGATGACATTTGCGACCCTGAACTAGGATTACGTGCTGACGCGTTTGTGATATTGCGCCAGATAACGAGAGCATAATAGGCAGTGCTCGCACTGAACAAAGTTGGTGAAAAGGCAAACTGGTTTACTAGGGTGTTACAGTATTTTCTGCTGTGGGGATGGCCGCTGTCTGTGTTTATCAGATGGTTCAGTATCATGATATATAAACCTCCAGTGACGTCACTATTGTTCTAGCGAGGCAGTATTTCTTGTCATATCCCGATGTCCCGTCGATTAGGGGGCATTACTTCAATATCGTCCCTCTGTCCGGGGATTTTCTGAGGAATAGCCCTTGACTTTGAATTATTATTTGTTTTGAGGATTGATACGACTTTGTCTTGCCAACACTGAATGCGATCGTAAAATATGACAATATTGAAAACTTCCCATGTAGCGCCGACACCCGGTTTCGAACCCGCAACCCTTCGCTTACTAGCTTCGCGGGGGGATACAACCGGGAGGGGATACAGCTTTTTGAGAAAGGGGGAGGGGGGAGGTCAGGTGTGTGTGTGTGCGCATTGCACTCTTGTGAAAGTGGGGGTGCACACTTCATTCCCACACCCACCCCTCTCTCCTTTTAGCAGGTTTTAAAAATAACAGGAGACGTTAGTTTCATGTAAAACTATATCTGTGTATGGTGAAACACAGAGTTTGTTTGAAAATCACAGGTTTGAAACATAAGTTTAAAAATTCATTCCAGGTGTTTGCCAATGAAGAAGATATCCAAGGGTTCGCCAAATCCAAGCATATTGAGGTTACAACGTCAGACGCCAGTGTCGAGAGGGTCAGACGGTATAGTTGTTTATAAGTTTACAAGTACAACACAGAGAGAGAGAGAGAGAGAGAGAGAGAGAGAGGTGCGCACACATATATATATCTATATATCTATATCTATATCTATATCTATTTATCTATCTATATCTATATCTATATCTATCTATCTATCTATACTTATAAGTTTACAAGTACAACGCACAAGAGAGAGAGAGAGAGAGAGAGAGAGAGAGAGAGAGAGAGAGAGAGAGGCACACATATATATGTCTATATATCTATATCTATATCTATTTATCTATCTATATCTATATCTATATCTATCTATCTATCTATACTTATAAGTTTACAAGTACAACGCACAAGAGAGAGAGAGAGAGAGAGAGAGAGAGAGAGAGAGAGAGACAGAGAGAGAGAGAGAGAGAGGTGCGCACACATATATATATCTATATATCTATATCTATATCTATATCTATATCTATATCTATATCTATATATCTATATCTATCTATCTATACTTATAAGTTTACAAGTACAACGCACAAGAGAGAGAGAGAGAGAGAGAGAGAGAGAGGTGCGCACACATATATATATGTCTATATATCTATATCTATATCTATATCTTATATACTATCACATATATCTATATCTATCTATCTATATCTATCTATCTATCTATCTATGTATTAGTGCTTTATAAGTGCATCTGAACACACAAAAGAGAGAGTGATTTCAGCCCATGCCACCGACAGTAGGAGTTCTGTTGTAACTAGCATCCAGCTGTGCTGTGTCGTATACTGCCGGGCTGAAATAGATACAGGTGATGTAAGGGACCACAACAACTCTGCGGTGTGTGACGGCCTCTGGAGAAAGCAATGACTGTAAAGCTGCTAGGAGTTCAGCCAGTCATGCGTCCCCTGACGAGGAAAGGCGAACCTGACCAGGCTCCATGCAGCGACCTTGACGCTGTATCAAACTTTGTTTGAACCCTCTCCCTGGTTGAGTTGGGTGTATGGCCGCTTTGAACAGTTTTCCTGTTATATATATCAGCTAAATTAGAAAGGACGACGATGTGGTATGCCTCATTAATCCTTTTGTCTTGACAAACATTATGGATAAGACCTTTTATTTCGAACTGTATTAGGTGATGTAGTTACGTGAACTAGTGAAACCAGTTCCAATATGGATTCCTGTATATATACTAGATGATTGATACGTTCTTCTCACTGGGACACTGGTGGACCAGTGGCCTTAGGCGCCTCAGTTCGCTGTGCAGAGTTGTGTCCCTTAGGTGCACCAGAAACCGATGATCACTGATTGGAATCCCTGAATCGTCCTGATTTTGTTCTAGACCTATGCGCATCTTTCTCGTGTGATTAACAAAGTGATAAACGTGTTGAACATATTGCCGTTGTTTTACCCAAACCAAGCTGACAAACTCACTCACTCATTTTATTCTCAGGTGCCACCTGAATGATCTCGAGAGCGTTCTGCCGTTCGTACTGGTCGGGTTAATGTACGTGTCTACGAAACCGGGAGTTGTCGAGGCGAGCCGAGTGTTTCAGGTATTCACGGCAGCTCGCCTACTCCACACAGCGGCGTATCTGATACCCCTTCCACAACCCAGCCGCGCTCTCACGTTCCTCACAGGCTATGGAGTCACTTTCTTCATGGCGTACAAGGTCTTCAAGGCTGTCTACTGAACAGGGACTATGTCGTTTTGATAATCTTCTGGACGAGGCATATACGGAGAGACGATAAACTGCTTCACAACACTGTCTTGTAACCTTCATATCTATTGGGGTCGATTGTGGTCGTTCACCAGATGTCCATCTGCATATAGTACCTGAAATGAAGGACTATTAAATAATTACCATGAACCGTTTGTGTCTTAAGAAATACGTGTTTTGTGAATCATGTCCGTCTTACGAAACCAATGTGATACACTCCCAGATTGCTTTGTAAATCGCCCGCGGCAAAAGAAAAAGAATGTGTTGTGGTAGTGTAGGAAAACGTCTATACACAAAGAACTTAATTAAGGACCCCCTGAATTTTTGCAATGATAGATTTTCAACACTTACATAAAACTTCTCATGGTGATCGCGATGGAAAAACGTGAGTCTGTACAAGTATGGCCCTGGAATGTTTAATGTTGAACATATTGGTGAATGTGAGTATTCAAAATGTTATATTGCGTGTCTTACACGATTCAAGGTCAATACCGAGTGTAACCTCCTTGTGACTGTATGACAGCCAGCACTCTCCTCCTCATACCCCCTGTCAGCCTCCTGATCCTCTGAAGGGGCAGTCTACGCCATTCCTCGTGTAAAGCAGCTTCCAACTGGACCAGGTCCTGTACAGGAGGATCCCTTTGTTGCACACGACAACCAATCATGTCCCAGATATGCTCCAAAGGGTGAACACCAGGGTTCAATCGTGAGATATGTCAGGGGGTGCCTAATTAACAATCGTTCACTTCTGGAAACAAGCACCAAAATTGGCACACATACTCCTGGGGGCTTGCTCCTTTGATAAAACCCGTTAACCACCTAAAAGTTCAAGATGGCCGCCATTTTTCAAGATGGCTGCCATTGAATATAAAGAAATATTGCGTTTCGCAATAAAATCACAGAGACCTGTCCGATTTGAACGATCTTGATGTCAAATCATACATTTTTGACTATTCAGAATCAAAATGTTCAACCCTTTGATAAAACCCGTTAGCCACCTAAAAGTTAAAGATGGCCGCCATTTTTCAAGATGGCTGCCATTAAATATAAAGAAATATTGCGTTTCGCAATAACATCGCAGAGAGCTGTCCGATTTGAACGATCTTGATGTCAAATCATACATGTTTGACTATGCAGAATCCGAATGTTCAACCTTGGACTCATTCATTAGCTTCCTTGTACCATGTATCAGTCCCCAAATCCAAACTTCACGTTACGTTTGACTAGGCTAAACTGCATGGTAATGTGTATGGCACTTGTGTTTGAAGCTTTGTATGTGTATCATCTTTCTGTGCAAGGATTCCAAACTGGACAAGAAACGAAGTGTGTGTGTGTGTGTGTGTGTGTGTGTGTGTGTGTGTGTGTGTGTGTGTGTGTGTGTGTGTGTGTGTGTGTGTCTGTGTGTGTGTTGTTGAGGGGAAAGGCGTTGAGACACTTGGACGTTGAGAGACTTGCAACAGAAGGTGTAGAGTAGTAGCTCAACAGAGCAGATGTCAACGCACAACCAGGGTACACTGGTGGCACCGCTGCTGTGGAGTGAGTGAGTGAGTGATATGCTGGCCGCTGCTGTGGAACTCAGCATGGGGGTTCAGTATCAGCTGAACAATTAATTTTGTATAGCTAAATCATTAGTTTAGTGTCCCAAATGCTATTTAATTAGCCCCGCATCAGTTAGTTAGTGTAGAGCACATGTAGTTTAACATAGATGTTTAGTTAGAAAACCGAGCCTGAATTGACAGTATGTGTCAGGGCAGGAAAGCCGAAGCAAGTGTAACGGGGTTTTACATTTAGTTACCCGGATGATGTACAGATCGAACGGGACTTACACCATACTGGATGAACGATCGAGCTTGGTGTAGGTCATATATTTTCATCCCCGAACCTAGTCGTATCCCATACCGTATTGTGCGTGATTGTGATCAAGGTGGTAAACGGATAACCCCTCGGCCTTGATTCACTAAATACAGATAATTATTATAGTGTGATACCCGGACAACTATTCACCAAGATGGCATATACAGATACAGGACCGTAGAAATTCCGGACTGACTGGAGCAAGTTTTATCGTTGCCAGAAAAGGAAGACGGAAGAGCTCCAGTCACCACGCTTACGTGTCGCCGATAAATCTAAATTTGCGGCTAAATAAACCACCGGTATACATCCCCAATTCGTCAAACATAGTACAGTTATCCCCATTCTAATTCAAGTTGTTTGAACATACAATGAGTGAATTTATGATACTGGTTTGTCTTTTTTAAACACAAATTCCATTCGAGTTTAGCGTAATAGGGGAGTTAAACTGACCTAGGGCTTCTGCAAATGACAATGCCCTGAAAAACAGCGTTACCCCAATAATGTAAGGGATACATTCAAAGGTTTTGGTGAATAGGTTTTCAAATAAATTGCGACCGTATATGTTGATTATACAAACGGAAATTTACAGCATTGACCAATCAGAACTCGTGTTACATACTAAGTTAAATAAGAATTATCAATATTCCAGCAATATCATGGCGTCGGACACCAGAAACCGTGTCGGGAATCGAACCCGGGTCTTCAGGGTGACGAGCGAACGCTTTAACCACTAGGCTATTCCCACTCATTTAGTAAGTAGGGTCAACTGTACAGTTGACAACCATGTCGGGTAACCTAATTCATTCGAAGATTGTATCTGTATTTTACCTCTCTGTCTCCACGTCAGTGTTTGAATATCTTACTCCTGAAATCCTACATACTGCTGTGCTATCATATCGTTGTCAGCACTGTCTGGTTTTATTCTGACATAACATTTACCACGAGCTCTACTTGGTCTTCAGAAACCCATGCTTGTCGTGAGAGGCGACTAACGGGGTCGGGTGGTCAGACTCGCTGATGTGGTTGACACATGTCATCGTATCCCAATTACGTAGGTCGATGCTCATGATGTTGATCACTGGATTGTCTGTTTCAGACTCGTCTATTCACAGACCGCCGCCATATAGCTGGAATATTGATGAATGCGGCGTAAAACAACAAACAAATATTAACGCACGTGGTGTGTGGCACCCGGTTAAGGTAGAAACGTGATACAGAGTGGGTACTTGTGACCTCTAACTTTACAGTACATTACATGACATCCTATCCACCCCACCAAAACACCTAACATGTTCTTTTCCTTTTCCTTATTTTTTGTTAAGGAGACCCGGTGGACCTCAGTGTATGGATGGGACGGAAAGGACTGAGTCGTGAGGCGAGAAAAATAAGATATGTTAATCTCAGCCGGGTGTCTTTTCGACATTTTTACGGTACAGATAAACTTACATGGGACAAAAGACCTGGAGTTTGGGCCCAGCCGCTCAACCGATCTCAACATAACCTTCAACATGGCGAGCCGTTCTCTTTCGATAACCCAGTGTTTTCCAAGTTTGCCCTCTACTCGACGGTAGTACTGTCCAAGACGATATGCATGTCCGAACTGACAACGTTATATAGAATGCGGAAACAGGTATGTCATTCAGCTGGCTTGTCCACACTGATTTGCTTGTGTGTTGAGTGGTTATATTCAAGGTTGTTTCGTTATACTCGAGCAGGTTTGCAGGATATAGAGTGTAGGCTATGTCGAAACATCGATAATCCGAGTAAAGATTTATTGCTTTTCATGATTTTTGCATTCGGAGTTTGAAAAAGTGAACGATTGCACTGAAAACCCATTGTACGGACCAGCAGGGTTTGGCGATGACATTTGCGACCCTGAACTAGGATTACATGCTGACGCGTTTGTGATATTGCGCCAGATAACGAGAGCATAATAGGCTGTTGCATAAGTGCTCACGCTGAACAAAGTTGGTGAAAAGGCAAACTGGTTTGCTAGGCTATTATAGTGTTTTCTGCCTGTGGGGATAGCCGCTGTAACACGTGTCTGTGTTGATCAGATGGTTCAGCATCATGATATACTGTACTTATAATACGCTGGATAATCCAGGCTGCAAACGAAGGCTCCTAAGTAGAGGGCAATGTCCGAGTAACTCTCCAATCCTTAAAAATAATGGAGCCGAGGCCATTATTTTTAAGGAATGGAGAGTTACGAGGATATTACCCTACTTATATTACATTCAAAGTATTGGTAATATTTCTGTTATCAAAATTAAATGTCAATATTCTCGATGTCCAATGTTTGAAAAGCTTCCATTTTATTTTGAAGGGATCATTAGCAAAGCCATATCCAAAAGCCATATATTTCGCATATGTGGGTAATGTGGTTAACGAGATATTAGTCATCACAACAAATTGGGGTATAATATTTCTTAAAAGAATGCAGAAAATGAAAAAGGATCTGTCATTTGGTACCTCTTGGATAATGGATATATTTCATATAAAATATGTTCAGTAGAGTATTGGATGACATAATGAACATTCAAAGATTTGGATTGCTTGATATTTATATACTCGGGGGCTGTAATTTAAGGACACCCCAATTTCAATCTTTCAAAAAGATTGTGTCCAGATATTCTAGCTGGCACTGTTTACAATATATTGAGAGCTGACACTTGTGTGACCATTCAGTATTTAGTTTGAACCTTTGGCATCATGTATGAATAGTGAAAACAGTAGAATAAGTTATATCCTTGTGATTACGTCATCTGAAAGGGGGTGGGTAGTGTCTCCAAAACAAGCTCTTTCAGTAAACAAGAAAGGGGCAGTCACTTTAACAAGCGATTGTAGTTACAAATTGCCTTTTTATGAACTTTAATATCTAAGTTTGATTCTAGCGGACTTCTGCCTATCTCAAACACACAAAATGTTTCTTGCATATTTTGTTTCCTGAAGTCGTGATGCATATATTGCAGATTTTGCGTGTTTTGGGGGTATCAAAATTAAGAGTCAAACAAAATGGGGATCGTGCAGAGGCTGGAACATGGCAAAACAAATTTGCTTGAGGTTGACAGATAATATGCAGGAAAATATAACATAAAAACAGCTGCATTTGTATCATTTTCTGTGTGAGGCTGACTACTTTTTGAACTCCCCTCGTATTAAAGAGCAACTGGAGTCTCAATACTGACTAGCACGCATATACTTAGCTGCTATAATTCCTTCCAAATTTGTCAGGTTACGACCAAATGAATTTTGCCAGGTTTTAAGAATAACAGGAGACCTTAATTTCATGTAAAGGTATATCTGTGAATGATGCAACACAAAGGTTGTGTGAAAATGAAAAATCTGAATCATAAGTTTAAAATTCATTCCAGGCGTATGCCAATGAAGAAGATATCGAACGGTTCGCCACATCTAAGGATACTGAGGTTACAACGTCAGACGCCAGTGTCGAGAGGGTCAGACGGTAATGCTGAGAGAGAGAGAGAGAGAGAGAGAGAGAGAGAGAGAGAGAGAGAGAGAGAGAGAGAGAGAGAGAGAGAGAGAGAGAGAGAGAGAGAGAGAGAGAGAGAGAGAGAGAGAGAGAGAGAGAGAGAGAGAGAGAGAGAGAGAGAGAGAGAGATACGTACATCTGAACACACAAAAGAGAGAGGATTTCAGCCCACGCCACCGACAGTAGGAGTATTATAGGCATGAAATTATAATATTGATAAAGATAGAATTTGGAGTGTTTGGTCAGAAAGGGGGTCCTATTATAGGCATAAAATTATTATATTTATTTCCATAATTGATATGAAGTCTAGATAATTAATATTTGGAATTGAGACGTAATGGGAGACAAATTATATCAGAATTAATAACATCAAGGTAGAATTCCAGTAGCTGGGGAAATGGTCGGAGAGGGAAGGTTAAGTTGGTGCAGTTGTGAGCCAAGTGAATATAGGTTAAGAAGATGTCTATATTATCAGGGCTGGGCACCTCACTGACAGTAAGACAGAAATGGTCAGAACGCGGGAGGAGCAGCATTTCTTGGAATCAGGGAGAGTAATTCTGGTAATTCAGGTAACACAACTACCTGTCAGGTAAAAGGGCGGCGTAAATAAGAACCCTTTCGATAGGAGTTTTGTTGTAACTGGCATCCAGCTGTTACGTGTCGTATACGGTAAGGCTGAAATAGATACAGGTGATGTATGGGACCACAACAACTCTGCGGTGTGTATCAACCTCTGGAGAAAGCAATGACTGTAAATTTAAGCTGCCAGGAGTTCAGCCAGTCATGCGTCCTGTGAAGAAGATAGGCGCACATGACCAGGCTCCATGCAGCGACCTTGACGCTGACGTATCAAATTTTGTTTGAACCCTCCCCCTGGTTAAATTGGGTGTAGGGCCGCTTTCAACAGTTTTCCCGTTATATACGGCGTGTCAGCTAAATTAGAAAGGTCGAAGATATGTATGCCTCATTAATCCTAATTAACTTAAAAACTATATTCTTATTTTTGTACATTAATCATATCTCATTTACTTTGTCATTATATTTTTGTCTTGACAAACATGGATAAGACCTTTTATTTTGGACTGTATTAGGTGATGTAGTTACGTGAACTAGTGAAACCAGTTCCAATATGGATTCCTGTATATATACTAGATGATTGATACGTTCTTCTCAATGGGACACTGGTGGACCAGTGGCCTTAGGCGCCTCAGTTCGCTGTGCAGAGTTGTGTCCCTTAGGTGCACCAGAAACCGATGATCACTGATTGGAATCACAGAATCGTCCTGATTATGTTCTAGACCTATGCGCATCTTTCTCGTGTGGTTAACAAAGTGATAAACGTGTTGAACATATTGCCGTTGTTTTACCCAAACCAAGCTAACAAACTCACTCACTCATTTTATTCTCAGGTGCCACCTGAATGATCTCGAGAACGTCCTGCCGTTCGTACTGGTCGGGTTAATGTACGTGTCTACGAAACCGGGAGTTGTCGAGGCGAGCCGAGTGTTTCAGGTATTCACGGCAGCTCGCCTACTCCACACAGCGGCGTATCTGATACCCCTGCCGCAACCCAGCCGCGCTCTCACGTTCCTCACAGGCTATGGAGTCACTTTCTTCATGGCGTACAAGGTATTCAAGGCTGTCTACTGAACAGGGACTATGTCGTTTTGATAATCTTCTGGGGTCGATTGTGTTCGTTCACCAGATGTCGAGCTGCATATAGTATCTGAAATGAAGGAATATTAAATAATTACCATGAACCGTTTGTGTCTTAAGAAATACGTGTTTTGTGAATCATGTCCGTCTTACGAAACCAATGTGATATACTCCCCCAGATTGCTTTGTAAATTGCCCGCGGCAAAAAAAAAGATGTGTTGCGGTAGTGTAGTAAAACGTCTATACACAAAGAACTTAATTGAGGACCCCCTGAAATTTTGCAATGATAGATTTTCAACACGTATATAAAACGTCTCATGGTGACCACGATGGAAAAAACGTGGGTTTTTGTGACCCGTATGATCCCTTGACTCATAAATAACGACATTTGAAATGACTGGACTCCATGTTGATGTTTTGATGATAATTGCTCATTTTGAAAAAATACAAACAGACACACTGATTTTCATGCAAACCCATGCCTGTACAAGTATGGCCCAGGCTGCCGTTGTACAAAGCGATCTTAGCGCTAAGGTGACCGTAACTCCCATACCTTAACATAGACTTAGGGTAACCTTAGCGCTAAGGTTGTTTTCTACAACGGCACCCTGGAATGTTAAATGTTGAACATATTGATGAATGTGAACGTTCAAAATGTTATTTTGCGTTTCTTACGCGATTCAAGGCCAATAACCGCCATGTGACCAATCATGTCCCAGATATGCTGCAAAGGGTTAACACCAGGGCTCAATCGTGAGATATGTTAGCATAACTAGGTTCTATATGAATAGGTGTATATATGTCTTAAGACACGTGTCTTAAGAGTCTTGTGAATCATCTCATTTCTAGCGAGAACCAATAACTGTCCCTGGTTTATTCCCATATTTCCAGCCCCAGCGAAGGCATAAACAAGTAAACAAGTTTCGTTAAAGATTTCAATAGTAAAAGCAATCCATCTATGTGGAATTCCTACATAACGGTATTCTCAGTATGCACACGCTAGACTAGTTCACTACTTCGCTTGGGAAGTGAAATATCATGTACATTTCCTTTGTCTGTTAGGGGCGACTAACGGGATTTGGTGGTCAGGTTAGCTGACTTGGTTGACACATGTCATCGTATCCCATTTGCGTAGATCGATGTTCATGTTGTTGATCACAGGATTGTATGGCCCTGACTCGATTATTTACAGACCGCCGCCATGTAGCTGGAATATTGCTGACAGTGGCGTTAAACAAACAAACAAACAAACCACTGCCGTGCTATAAAAGACCTGCACCAGTTCATGCATTCATCGACCGCCTCCGTGGTGTAGTGGTTGGAGCGTCCTCCCGGAGAGCGGAAGGTCGCGGGTTCAATCCCCGACCGCGTCATACCAAAAGACGTTAAAATATGGTACTTGTTGGTCCCTGCCTGGTGCTCGGCATTAATGGGTACAACAAGGACTGGTCGGCTCGGAGTCAGTATAATGTGTCTGAGTGGGGTATTCATGCTTCACTGCGGCATGGTATCTCAGTGAGCTAGCACTATAAAACCAGCTTAAGTCTGGGCTAGTACAAGCAGCCGCACATACACATACGCATGCACGTCGTCCTATGAGCGAAATATTCTCAAACACGACGTTAAACCAAATTTCACCTCACCTCATGCATTCACCCCATATTGAGCTGACATCCCGTGATGTAACAGGAACAGCGTTGAAACCTACATCACTGCATGACTCAGACTACTTCACTGTATCCGTCCAGCAAAGAATGCTGACTCCACAGTTTTGTTAGCTTGGACTGTATCATGGTCATCAGCTCAAAGTGGGAGCACGTGTATGAAGTCTTTCTCCCAGACCCGGGAGAATATATTAAATGTGTTATGGTTTGGCAAGTCTAGATTGTCCAGTTAACACGGTTCCAGTTTTCTATTTGATTTTTGAGTTTTTTGGTAGATATACATATACATGTTTTTCATGACAAAAACGTATTTCTGGTACTAGTGAGTCTAGTGTAAAAAGTGCTGACAGTCACAAGTGGGGCGGATTTTGGATTGGGTTAAACGGTCATAGGATTCTCGTACGGCTAATGGACGCAACTCTAGGCTTGTGATGGACACGAGCGTGGTGATCCTGAGCGATGCCTCAAGTCCCAATCCGGTTGTGACCCTCATAACTATTACACATAAATGAAACGACCGAGGATATCATAGCAGTTGTTATCGTACTGTTGCCCCGTACTGTTATTTGTCCATGGCTTTAACCCCATCATGTACAGTAACAACAACCCTCCGCTTATCAGGACGCTAGGCATTCCAAACTGGATAAACAAACATCGCGGATTGAGACATATCGTACGTAGTAACATGCAGTGGGTGAGTGAGGTTTTACAGCATTCGAAATATATTTCTGAATTATATCTCTGTAAATGGTAGAATGGGAACCAGGTAATCCCGTGATTGACATCATTAGCATCGTTCTACTCGATTGGGATACGATGACATGTGTCAACCAAGTCAGCGAGCCTGACCATCTGATCCCGTTAGTCGCCTCTTACGACAAGCATGGGCTGCTGAAGATGAATTCTAACCCGGATCGTCTCGGGTGATCTCGGGGTTACTGCATGATACCCGAGGAAAGACATCCAATACTGACAAATATATACTACCCATCAAAAGTTTAGACTCACCAATGAAATGTAGCCACTTACTTCAGGGCCGCCTCCGTGGTGTGGTGGTTAGAGCGTCCGCCCGGAGAGCGGAAGCTCATGGGTTCGATCCCCGACCGCGTCATACCAAAAGACGTTAAAATATGGTACTTGTTGGTCCCTGCCTGGCGCTCGGCATTACTGGGTACAACAAGGACTGGTCGGCTCGGAGTCAGTATAATGTGTCTGAGTGGGGTATTCATGCTTCACTGCGGCATGGTATCTCAGTGTGCTAGCACTATAAAGCCAGCTTAAGTCTGGGCTAGTACAAGCAGCCGCACATACACATACACACGCATGCACGTCGTCGTATGATCGAAATATTCTCAAGCACGACGTTAAACCCAATTTCACCTCACCTCACTTACTTCTAAACTAGATTTTGCAAAATATTCCATACGTTTTAAAGGTACTGTTTACACATGAACTGATGTATTGTAAAGCAAATTTGTAAAGTTGAAAAGATTATTGTCATGAGTTCAATAAACGGTGAAACCAGACTCGATTATTTACAGACCGCCGCCACTAGCTTGAATATTGCTGCGTGCGGCGTAAAACTGAACTCACTCACTCTTATCCCTTGATCGATGATCCGGGTTAGAAGGAGTAAGAGGCGACAGATCAGATGGTATGGTAGCCTGTCGTACAGACCCTGAAGCAAATATATCCAAGAAAGCCCACACAAGTCTAGAAAATGTGGCAAGTCTAGATTTCCTCAGCTTCTGAAAATGAAGAAAGTCTCAGGGCTCCTTTTCATTATATTTTATTTTATTTTACTATGAACTTTTTTCAGTAAAATATGTTCATTGCAGAGACTAGTTGTTAGTCTAATGGTATGGCTGTCATCATATCGACGCTCACTCACTGGATTGTCTGATCAAACTCGATTGTATACAGATTGCCTTCATATAGCTCGAATATTGCCGAGTGAGGCGTTAAACAACGAAACACAAAATATAAGATCTGCTAGCTGACCCCATGACTCAGTACTCTGAGGACAGTACCAGTATTTTACCAAATATTTGAACATGAAACACACTTAGCACTGGTCAGGTTCAGTTTTAGAACTAATCTTCAGCAACACATGCTTGTCGTAAAAGACGACTAACTGGATCGGGTGGTCAGACTCGCGGGCTTGGATGGAAAATGCCATCGTATCGTAATTTTGTAGATTGACGCCCATGAGGTCAGTCACTGGATTGTCTGGTCCAGGCCGTCGCCATATAGCTCGAATATTGCCAAGTGAAGCGTTAAACAAAAAGAAAACAACAAAAACACAACTAAAAACCAATATTATCTTGTAATGTCTTTCAGAATGAAGAATACACAACATATGGTCTATTACATTTCATTACAGATTTCTGAAATAACATAGCCTCTATTACCCAGTCAGAATAAGTACAGTACTATCACCGTGGAAATGACGACACATCTACAGTTATCTGAATAGTCTATGTGTTGTGAGATTTGCATCAGAATCAGGTAATGCTATAAATACCCACTGTCTTTCTTGTAGTGAGTGAGTATGGTTTTACGCCGCTTTTAGCAATATTCCAGCAATATCGCGGTGGGGACACCAGAAATGAGCTTCACACATTGTACCCATGTGGGGAATCGAACCCGGGTCTTCGATGTGACGAGCGGACGCTTTAACCACTAGGCTACCCGGCCGACTCGGCTTTCTTGTATTTATGGTAACAGAATGTAGATATAATACACTGGAAATATACGACAGTAAAGATCAGACATCTATTTTCAAAGAAAAAAACCCCTCATTTTGTTAGTAATATCAAACAAATACATACACTCTAGGGGCTGTTGTTTTGTTCTCTATAAACTGCTTAAAATTTAAACTCTTGCAATAATATAAATGGATGGACATATTCATATATGTGACGTAAATACGATTATTACGAGAAGGTTGAGCTGTAGTTAAAACGCTCGTCAGTACAGAGAGTGAGTTTGCTTTTAGCAATATTCCAGCAATATCACGGCGGGGAAAACCAGAAATGGGCTTCACACATTGTACCCATGTGGGGAATAGAACCCGGGTCTTCGGTGTGACGAGCGAACGCTTTAACCACTAGGCTACCCCACCGCCCCGTCAGTACAGAGTGGCATGAGATATTTTTGTTTACTGTAAATACGGTTTAAACACACGGTTACTACGCTATATGTAGAACGCCTGTAAGTGTAGAAAGGTACATGAGATATAGTACTCACGGAAATAGAAAGAAAATGTTTTTGGCGTTTATTTCGTAGTTTGGAACACAACTAAAGTTTGATTGTTCAATATTCTATGACTATCGTTTTTCACTTTTGTTTTTAAAACTTTTTGCAAAATCACCCGAAATAGATGAGTTTATAAGGAGAGCAATTGCATCAAAGTCAAAATGTACTTTTCTGATGCAAGATATAGTATGCAAATGAGATGTACTCTCCATAGGTTAGCGTACAGAGTATATTTCTCATGAAAAACGTCATATACCATTCATCCTTTATTCCATTTATCCTAATTGATGTACAAAATAATTGATTTAGGGATTTTCTCAGTACATTTTTCATGCTTGTACTCCTGTTGAAAACCAAATGCCTAAAAACATTTTATTTCTATTTCCGTGAGTACTTTAGTCAGGTCCTGTTATTTACTCCTTGTGCGGGTTATGGGACAAACCAGAGGGTTTTGTTTTTGAGACAAGATAGCTTTTCCGTCAAAATTGATAAAAACAAATTTCTGTTCTTGAGTATTTAGGGCCCATATTATACCACCCATCAAAAGTTTAGACTCACTTACACTTAAAGCACGCGCTGGAGCCATACCGGTTTCTGGGTAATTTGTAAGTTTCCGTTTTCCGGAAACGTGAAGGAAATGTAGAGAAACGGTCCGGAAACCAAACTAAAACCAGAGACCATATAATAGATATGTTTTCTGCTGAAACTTAAGTTTCCATTACATTTATTCTAAGTTATTTTTCCTGTGTATATGTTATGTATATATCGTATGGTTACTTCCAAGATAAATGTCCCCTCTAACTTGGGGTACCCGACTGCAAACCTTATGCAGTTGAATTGCACGAGGATCATGCATCAAATTGTTGAAAAGCATGTGCAAATATCATGCATGTGGACAGCTGCGTTTTGTTGTAAGGTTTCGCTAATAAATCGACAATTTTCAGTTTCATCATTTATTGAACTCATGACAATAATCATTTCAACGTTACGGATTTGTTTTACAATACATCAGTTCATGTGTAAACAGTACCTTAAGAAGTATGGAGTATTTTGCAAAGTCTAGTTTAGAACAACTGACTGAAGTAAGTGGCTACATTTACACTCGTGAGTCTAAACTTTTGATGGGTAGTATATGTGAGTTTCAGAACATACAGTACGCCCACTGATTGATTTATAAAGTTTAGGTAAAACCTGAGGAATACTCGATTTGTCCGTTTTGGGAACAAATAAAATAATCGCGGGTTCCGCGCGAATATGAAATAATCGTCCCTATAACGGTATACTGGGAAATATGTGTGCAAGTATATGTCGTATTGTCATCAACGTCGCATTAAAGGGTTCCACAGATGAAGACACGGCCGACCATCATCATGTTGACGACGGCGCCGACGCCGAAGGCGAGAAATCTGATTGGCTGCGGCAGCTGAGCGAGGTAGGCGACGGTGTGGATGAGACGCGCCGCCGTGAACGTCTGGAAGAGTCGTCGTGCAGCGACAGGGTGAGGATCTGATAGGACGAACAGTATACCAATCACAGCGAAGGGCACGATGTTCTCAATGTCATTCTGATGGCACCTGGAAAAATAAGTGGGTGAGTGAGGTTAATTTTACGCCGCTTTTAGCAATATTCCAATTTCCAGCAATATCACGACGGGGGACACCAGAAATGGGTTTCACACATTGTACCCATGTAGGGAATCGAACCCGGGTTGTCGGCGTGACGAGCGATCGCTTAACCACTAGGCTACCATACCGCCTCTGGAAAAAGGGGACAAGTGGCTCATAGGAAAATAGAGCCCCGTAAAAATCTCGGGCTAGACATGTCCACAGAAACATACAGGTGTCGTGTAAAGCGACTTGATGCATCTGGTGGCCAGACTTCTTGGCTTGGTTCATAAGATGTCATGGGCTTCGCATACTGTACCCATGTGGGGAACCAAGCCGGGATTTGGATTGACAAGTGCGTGAGTATGATTTCACGCCGCTTTTAGCAATATTCCAGCAATATCACGGCGGGGGACACCAGCGATGGGCTTCACACATTACACCCATGTGGGGAATCAAACCCGGGTCTCCGGTGTGACAAGCCAACTGGGCTACCCTAGGTCAAAGTCAAAGTCAAAGATCTTTATTATGCATGAAGGCCACCGGCCCATATACATATAACATATGTACAATCAAAATATATTGGCAACATGATGTAAAACAATTAAGAGTTTAACAAAGTCTGTCTCTTTATATAAGCAGTATATATGAATTTGCATAGATTTAATAATGCTTCCTTTGAAGTAGAAGTTAGCAGGTTTTTTGAAAATAAATATATTTGGAATGCGGTTGTAAATATGTGGAAAATAATAGAATCTTTCTTCAGAATAATATTTGCATACTAAAAGAAAATGGAATTCATCCTCTATACCGAGTTTACAGACAGGACATGTGCGTAGAGATACATCAATATTTAACCATCTTCCTTCATTTATTTTTAATCGTAATAGGCCTGCTCGGAATTTTATAAGAATATTACGATATTTGTTTTCATGTATAACACTTAAATATTTTTCCGGTTCTAGTAAACACTTACATTCTCTATACAGATTGTAGCGTGAACTGTTGTCGAGAGTACAATGCCAAGATTGGTAGAACATATTTACACATACATCTTTAAAACATCTAAGAAAATCGACCTTATTGCCTACACTTTGTGCTAACCATACAAAGCCAAATCCATGTGAAAAAAGTATGTTACGAATATGAGAAGCATAATTATTGCCCAATGTTATCTAAATATACTGACATGTCATATGATTTTTTTGGTATTCTACCAGAGTGCATTTCTGTAAGCTTTAGCCAATATTTAATAACTCGACATAAGGCATTTATATACAAAGGATATCGTCCACATTCACCGTATATTATAACATTAGGCGTTTGTAATCCTACATTTAGAAATCTCTTACATGCAAGCAAATGAACTTTTTCAATATTATCATAGCGGCTAATCCCCCCATACTTCCGCACCATAAAGTAAAATTGGTTGAATTTGTGAATCAAATATTTTAAAGAATACCCTAGGATCAACACATCAATCTTTCGTAAGTTATATAGTATTTGTAACAATGCTCTTTTTCCTCTCAGTGCTAGATCGTCTGTACATTTATTCATTTTAAACGTGGATGAAAATATAATACCAAGATATCTATATGAATTCACAACGTCAATAACAGAGTCTTTATAATACCATTTTTCTTTAGCTGATAATCGCCCACCCCTTCTAAAACAACAATATTGGTTTTATCGAGGTTGACGTCAAGTCCCCATTTATCAGAATATGATTCTAAGATGTTCAATTGTTTTTGTAGTCCCGAAGCAACGTCAGATATGAGAATGACATCATCTGCAAAAAGTAATAGCAATATCTCTAAAAAATCAGGGAACAGCTGTACACCAAATTTACCACTTTCTACAATATCAGTACACAGTTCACCAATAAAAATGAAAAAAGTGGACTTAAAATACACCCTTGCCTTAGACCGACTGGGCAATCAAAATAATCTGTATAAACATTATCATTGCATCTTACATGCTGTAACAGATACATATATACTTTTTATTGCAGCCAACATTTTGCCATTTAATCCAGAATTTTGAAGACAGTACCAAAGTTTATATCGTGAGACGGAATCAAAAGCTTTCTTAAAATCTACGAAGGCAACATACAGTTTCTTCTTTTTTCTTGATAAGCATTTCTGAATTATTGCATTTAAGGTGAAAACATGATCAGTTGTAGAATACTCTTTTCTAAAACCGGCTTGAAATTCAGGTATTTTATCTCTTATCGTAGCCCAGGTTGTAAGTCTGCTATGAAGAATACGTGTATATATTTTGCTGAGTGCACTTAAAAGGGAGATCCCTCTGTAATTATCGGGATTACTTCGGTCACCCTTTTTATGTATAGGAATTATAATTGCTTTAGTCCAGTTTTCAGGGAAAACACCTTTTTGAAACAATGTATTAAAGAGTTTTCTAAGAAATGGTAAAATGATATGTGTAGAACATGTAAGCATTTCTACAATTATACAGTCATTACCTGGAGATTTACCTCATTTTAGATGATCTAAGGCTGATATAATTTCAGAATCAGTGAACTCACATTCAAGAATAGTTGCATCAATATCATCAACGCAATCCTTATCATCTTGACATTCCCAGGTTTCTGTATCACTGGGCACAGGTCTATTAAAAACTGTGTTACCCTAGGTAGGTGCTGCAGATCGCAGCTGTTCTCTATTGAGGGGCGGAGACTGAAAGATCAGGATGAAGGAAAACAGCGGACTAGGACCCACGATCGGAAGATCTTGGCTTTGCAAGGCAACGCTCTGATTTACTAAGCTACCTCTTCCACGTTAAACAGCATAAACACATATCCTCAACTAATTTATAAACGCAACATGCCAAATGCCATGGCAGCCTTAGCATTTTGTAAATGATATCTATAAGTGTTCCGCGACGAAAATAAGGGGGCTATTTGTTTCGAAGTCTTGTGCAGAGGGCATTGGGCGGTCAACCTTAGCATTGTAAACGATACATGTATCTAAATCCAGTGTTCAGTAAGGTAAATACGGAGGAAATTTGTTTCGATGACTTGTGCAGGGGGCATTATCTTGACAACGCCTTACAGTCACCCACTGCTCAGGTTTAGCGTCAGAAGGGTGAGTGAGTTTAGTTTTACGCCGCTTTTAGCAATATTCCAGCAATATCACGGCGGGGGACACCAGAGAGGGGCTTCACACATTAAAATCGAACCCAGGTTCTCGGCGTGACAAGCGAACGCCTTGACCACTAGGCTACCCCACCGCCCCTAACGTGAGAAGAATTAGTTCTAACGCCGCTTTGAGCAGTATTTCCGTTTTACAATGTGTCATGTTGACGTGCGACGAAAGATGAAAGTCTTAGGAGTTTATCACTTAAGTAAAACTCACTATCGTGGTTTAGTGCAGACAAACCAGGAGTCAGGACGAATCTGGAATTCGGAAGCTTATGACAAAACAGAGCGACGTCCGGTTTCCGACGCCTGGGGCCCGTTTCACAAAGCGATCGTAGCGCGACGTAAGTCTATGTCGTAAGTCTATGTCAAAGTATGGGAGTTACGATCACCGTAGCGCTATAAACACTTGAGCCACGGCGTCCGCTTGCAGATCTGCAAATTGCGCTCAGCACAAACCGAAACATGAGTCTCATTAACCTATTCAGACAATGACCTTCTTTTCAGCCGATCTGAATTTTGTCGTGTGGAAGTGAAAAGAGACACAGCAAACAACCATGGTTACACTGAATTCCAATTCCTTGTTTCATAAGAAAATGGTATTTAAAAGTTAATTTTGATTTTAAACTTTAATAACATCGCATTTTATGGCGAGGTGTAGGCAGCATGACCTTAACTAAGACGTCACAGACTGCCCCTGTTTGATGAGGTCGTAAAATGATTCACAATTCATCTGGCTCACTGGTTACACCTGTTATGTGTCCTTTGTGCTTATTCAATGTAGTTTTGTAACGCACAATGTGATTGATTTATTATCAAGTTCATACCAGACCGCCAAACTTTTTTAGCGGCAGAGCCTCGTTTTGAGATTTCCTCGATTTCCAGATTTCCGTTTGTCAGAGCACGCTGCACGACGTGTTTGTAAGGATTAGAAGGAGCGTAGTGTTGCAATATACAAGTGCTTAGATATATCAAAGAACACTGATTAATATTTATGTATCCAGTTGAATGAAAATTCTGGACTGATTATTGTACTAAGTTGCCAGTCAGCAGGAAACGAGACTGTTGTGTAATCAATGTTTTGACTTGTTATCCAGCTATAATCGAGTCTGTAGCAGACAATCCAGTGACCAACATCATGAGCATTGATCTACACAATTTGGGATACGATGACATGTGTCAACCAAGTCAGCGAGTCTGACCACCCGAGCCCGTTAATCCTCTCTTACGACAAGCATGGGTTGCTGAAGATCAATCCTAGCCCGGATCTTCACGGGAAGGATCTGCATATGGTTTACAGCATTAGCAGAAAGGACTTTACAGCCTACCTTCGGATCCTCTCCACAGTTTGGTCGTTGAAGTTGACTTTGATGCCAGGTGCGCCCAACTTCAGGTCCTCTGAGTTTGAGAAGGTCTGGAAGCATCGTCACAGAAGTTAGGCTATTATACAGTCTATTCCTTATATATTCATTTATTTTCATCTTATATATTATATTTATATTATGAATATTTATATTATATTGTCATCTATTCCTTATATATTCATGCATTTTCATCTTATATTCACCTCTGTAAATTATTGTTTTACAAAATTAATAAACATGTTTAATGTTGTCAACCCATTTCACCTGTTGGGGTATATGGAATGATCATTGGGTTCTGAAGTCTTAACTGGCATGGTCTTTGAACATTGCGCTTTTGGAGTCATCTCACAGATACAGGCGATCTTACAAATCATTGGACGATGAAGTTGTGTCAACACCTGCTACTCATATAATAGTGAGTGAGTATCGTTTTGCGCCACTTTTAGCAATATCCCAGCGGGGGACACCTGTAACCATGTGGGGAATCGAACTCAGGTCTCCAGCGTGACGAGCGAACGCTTTAACCACTAGGCTACTCTCACTCATTTAGTAAGTAGGGTCAACTGTACAATTGACAACCATGTCGGGTAACCTAATTCATTCGAAGATTGTATCTGTCTTTTCCTCTCTGCCTCCACGTCAGTGTTTGAATATCCTACTCCTTGAAATCCTACATACTGCTGTGCTATCATACCGTTATCAGCGCTGTCTGGTTTTATTCTAGCATAACATTTACCACGAGCTCTACTTTGTGTAGCTTCATCAAACAGAAGATGTGACCGATGAATTTATCTCAGCTCCTCGTTTTTTGTTTATCCACTCGTCATACCAGCCGGGTGAGAATTGGTCTTCGGCAACCCATACTTGTCAGGCTCGCTGGCTGACACAAGTCATCGTATCCGAATTACGCAGATCGACGCTCATGATGTTGATCACTGGATTGTCTGTTCCAGACTCGATTATTTACAGACCACCACCATATAGCAGGAATATTGCTGAGTGTAGCGTTTACAACAATCCAACCAACCAAAATGGTCGTCATTCGGATTGACCCAGAACAAGTTTGTTACGAATGACTACCTTTGCCTGTGGAGGAAATGCAAGAAGCGTACGTAAATACTGAAGAAGGTTATCTGCCCTTGGTTGAACACACTGGCAAGCACATAGGAACAAAAGGCATTATAGCAATGTGTAAAAGCCTACCTGGTTCTTTATTCTGAACAGTCCCGTCAGCGGACTCATCAGCACTGTTTTCCCGATCAACACCGAGCCATAGAAGGCAAACTGGGAGAATACGGGGTTATCGAGGAAGCTCAGTTCTCCAGCCATCTTGAATGTGCTCCAGCAGAAAGGCAGTGAAATGTTACACAATACACGTTTGGGGCAGGTAGGAATGCACGCTGTGCACGGTTGCATGTCCTTGGTAGTGGGGGAGGGAGAGTAGGGGGTGGGAGCAGACAGGAGGACTGAGGGTTTGGTCACGCATGACGTGGTATTGTGAATAGCGGTGTATTGGTTGTGAAACTGGATATGGAGTCTGGAATGAAGCACAGTGACGGAGCGAGCAACTTTATCTATACACATAGACTAACGCTTAGCCTCTGAATGTATGTAATTTTAATAGAGACAAACAATTTTGAACCTGAGGAAATCTATCTAGACTTGCTTCATTTAGGGCTTTCGTACTTCAGGGAGGGCAAGGCAGTAGGGAAATAATCCGGGTCAGGGACTGTGAGACAGTCTAATATACATCAGACACAACCTCATGGTTTGTTCACACACGGGATCCACAAATGCTGGTGCACTCCTGAATAAATACATTGTCAAACACAGCAAAACTTTATTGACACTCCGATCGTGAACCACAGTACATACAATATATACACAAGAACGTTGTGAAGCACCCCCTGACATATCTCAAGATTGAATGAGCCCCGATCTGAACCCTTTGGAGCATATCTGGGACATGATTGGTTGTCGTGTGCAACAAATGGGATCCTCCTGTACAGAACCTGGCCCAATTTGAAGCTGCTTTACACGAGGAATGGTGTAGACTGCCCCTTCAGAGGATCAGGAGGCTGACAGGGGGTACGAGGAGGAGAGGGCTGGCTGTCATATTGACCTTGAATCGTGTAGAACACAAAATGACATTTTGAATGTTCACATTCTCAAATAAATTAAACATTCAAGGGCGATACTTTTTGTGTGGTTGTTTTTGGTTTTTTAAATGAGCAATTATCATTATAAGATCAACATGGATTCCAATCATTTTGTCGTTATTTATGAGTCAAAGGATCATACAGGTAAGCAAAACTCACGTTTTTCTATCGTGGTCACCACGAGAAGTTTTATATACGTGCTGAAAGTCTATCATTGCAAAAATTCAGGGTAGGTGGGGAGGTTAATTAAGTTCTTTGTGTACATGTATATATACAAGACTGCGAGTGTACGTTGGCAGCAACAGTTACGCTAATACGACACAAATAAAACTTTCAGGGTGGACTTTGATTTGAAATACAGCTGCACAATTTACTTAAATGAATACTAACTTTTCTGTAAACTTCAGTACGTTTTGATTAAGAGTGATTGTTGCTGACAGATATCTTACTTCACGTTGCCGATGTTGCACAATGCTACCCGGATACACGACTGTGGACTATATATAAATCCCTTATAATGAGGTCACGGTTGTGGTGTTAAGTATGTCTACCTGTCTCCGTAATGTGTATATTAGGCAACATGTTGTTATTAATTATTGTTATTAATCTAATATCAGTTGTCTTCGTGATTGTATTGTTGTCTTTGTACATTATCACCCCCCAACCACCCCTTCCCTCATCCCCTCTTTTTGCTTTGTCATTGTATAAAGTGTTATCTTTGTACATTCTGTATACATGTCTATCTATATATATTAACTCTGTGCACTAACTCAGCATTCATCTGATGAAGGAGCAATAATAAGCTCTGAAACGTGATAAAGAATAGAAACAAGTCGTTGTCCATAAAGCGTGTCAAGTAGTCATATTATTTGCTTTGCATCTAGACTAACATCTTGTCTCTGAAATGAACATATTTTACAGAAAACTTTTCATGAAAATAATAATAAAATATAATGAAAAGGATCCCAGAGACTTTCTTCAATCCGGACTTGCCACATATTCTAAAATTGCATGGGCTTTCCTCGATATATTTGTTTCAGGGTCTGTATGACAAACTACTTTGTACCGTTCAGCATATGTGCAAACAGGTGCTCGGCGACTGGACCTGAACATGGATAGTGTACCTGTAGAGATTCGGGTCGGTTCAGAGGTCTGTCCTGGTTCGTGTCTCACTGATTCATGTGTAGTCTGTACCTGAACTACCGCGCAGTGATGACTCAGCAGTACATCGTAATCAGTCATTTCTTGTGACAGTTGTCTGATACTGAATATAGGGGAAGGTTAAGGGAGAGGTGTGGATAATACATGCACGTACATCATGTTTCATGGCATTGTTCATTATTTCATCGTTATGTGTGTGCGTGCGTGCGTGCGCGTGTGTGTGCGTAAAGGGCGATTAACGGATCAGGTGCTTGGGCTTGCTGACTTGAAATATGTCATCGTATCCCAATTGTGTAGATCGATGCTCAGGTGGTCAATCACTGGCTTATCTGGTCCAGACACATTTATTTACAGATTGCCGGCATATTTCTGACAAGAAACACACATAATATACAGATCTGCCGGGCATCCCCTGGTCCTGTACTCTAGAGCAGGACCAGTATTTTACTAAATATTTACTAAATATTTGCACATGAAACACAGATATCCTGCAAGTGATCACTTGCTTACTTCATAACAGTGTTAGCATCTACACCCAAATGACGCATCGTAAAGAAGCTGTCAATCCACAAGTCTTGTTTTTGCATTCAAGACTGTCGTAATATACTATTACTATAACAATATTATATCTTTGAATGGTTTTGAAAGAGCACATTACTGGCCAAGAATATCACTGTCCTGAGAGATTTTCCTGGCGCTTAGCAAAACCAGAGACCATATAATAAATCTATTATATGGTCTCTGGATAAACCCGTTGCAGTATGTGTGTGTGTGTGTGTGTGTGTGTAAATACGATTTACTTAAGCAATTTATATGATGCTTAGATATTAAAACAATTCTACAAATTTGGCTAATTTAAGAAAAACTCTGTTATTATGCTTGGTTTACAAACCCAAGTTATAAAAACCGAAGTTGACTTTCCGCTTTCTTTGAATGCTATAACACTTTTAGTCACTGTGAGATTAAAACAAACTTCAGAATGTTTTGAAAAAAAATGTTATTATGACAAACCAGATGGACATTGATTAATATGAAATATTAAGGGGCCACAAAAATGACTACATTTTCCAATAAATTCCAGGATGAGACTGTATTTCACCTCTGTTGATCAATGTGAGGATAGTCCCACACTAGGAAATCCCGATACCACAACAGAATAAGTCACTGAGCATCAAGTGAATGACGACAAACACAGAAGTGTAGGGCTTTCTCGATAAAACATAGACACAAAGGAGTAGTTAATGTTGTATTACGTGAAATGTACCTGAAACAGTAACTTTTGTTATAGCTTTAGAGTGAGTGAGTGAGTTGAGTATTACGCCGCTTTTAGCAATATTCCAGCAATATCACGACGGGGGGACACCAGAAATGGGCTTCACACATTGTGCCCATGTGGGGAATCGAGCCCGGGCCTTCGGCGTGACGAGCGAACGCTTTAACCACTAGGCTACCCCACCGCCCCATAGCTTTTGAGTACATTGATTGAACTTCACCGTTGCAAAAATAATGAAGTACTTAAATACATATACTGTAATACATAATTGAACATATAAGATTTTACACACATATACGAGTTTGGTTTAAGTAAACCTAATCCGATCAAATATAAGAATTCGAGGGGATTATACACCGTTTGTCAACGAGGTCCTCCCCATGATTACACAATGCCATGTAGAAAGTGGTCAAATGTAACATATGTTATATTTGGGAGTGCACTTTCTCAGTAAAGTAAAGATGGGATGGGTCCCATCCGGGATTCGACCCACACCCTCAGAGTCAGGCACCTAACCCCCAGCTGGTCCGAAACCCAGTTCGTTGAGTCGCGGACGCCAAATGGCATCCGTTCATTACGCGGGCTAATTGCAATGGCGCCGACTAAAAGTTGGAGTATTGTTTCCCTGTGATGATATAATAAACACCGCCAGTTATCGTCTAAACGATGTTGGCCCGATGCCTCGAAAATCCCAAATTATAGAAAACCGAAACCGCGAAAAAAACATTGTATAACTGGCATCCGAATTGTGTGATACCATGCGCAACCAACTCGATCCGCCTTGGGACCGATTGAGCGATCCCTTTTCTCTGTAGTTTAAGAAGGATTTTCGCTGATTCGGCCATAAACCGTCTGAAGGGTAAACGTTGCCATAACTAAACGCTCCGGTTGGAGCGGACAACACTTGTCTGACGTCAATGTGTATGGTCACGTGACTCACCAAGCGATCACCCTGAACTGGGTCAAAGTCGTTCAAAATGGCTGGTGTGTTTGACAATCCCGTCTTCCCTTACTTCGTGTTCTATGCCACAGTGGTTGTTTTGAAAACCATGGCAATGAGTCTCGTCACTGCATTTCACAGAATTACGAAAAAGGTAAGAACGTGTTATGTCTGTGAGACAAAGGTGTTAAATGACACGTATGAATGCAAGAAATACTCACCGGATTCTCGGACTTTGACCGCGTACCCCATAATCAGATATGTCTGATGCTGCATTCGTATTTTGTGCTGTGTCATTCCTTTCACTTAAAGTGAAAAGTAAAAAAATAAACCCCCAAAACATTTACATTTTTCTTGAGGTGTATTTTTCACATTATTCTCCAAGTGGTTTGTTTACTTTACTCTTGAAGTGACTTTTTACATTATTCTTGAAGTGGCTTTTTTATATCATTCTCCAAGTGGATTGTTGACCTTTGTCTGGAAGTGACTTTTTGCATTATTCTTCAAGTGGCTTTGTTATAATATTCCCCGAGTGGATTGTTGACCTTTGTCTCGTAGTGACTTTTTGCATTATTCTTGAAGTGGCTTTTTTATGTTATGCTCCGAGTGGATTGTTTACCTTTGTCTGGAAGTGACTTTTTGCATTATTCTTGAAGTGGCTTTTTTACGTTATGCTCCGAGTGGATTGTTTACCTTTGTCTGGAAGTGACTTTTTGCATTATTCTTGAAGTGGCTTTTTTATGTTATGCTCCGAGTGGATTGGTAACCTTTGTCTGGAAGTGACTTGCACATTACACACTTTCTGAAATATTTCTTTAAGCAGAGCATTAAGGA